TTTCTTTTTTTTAATCATTCTACCGTTTCCAAGTGGACTCTGAGAGAGTGACTAAGCTGATACGAGAGCGGCCATTGCTATGGTAATTAATTAAAAAGGTCGAGCATTAATCGGTAATCGTTGGTTGACAGATGGATACCGGATCCCACGTCACTGTGTACGATGGTATCTTCCCTGTCCTCCCGTCGCCTTTTTTTTTCTCCAATTTTGATTTATACCCGTCGAAAATTCCGATGAATTTTGCCTTCGCCAATATCGTCCTTGCCGAGAACACGTTCTCGAATACCGGTGTGCTTAAATCATTGACTGATTTAAAAGTCAGACTGTCGTCACTGTCAAAGTATCTTGACGTTTGCTTGCCTGCCGTCTACTTTCCTTCTCCAATCTCTGTCTTCGTTTTGAATAAACGATTAAATTCGTATTTGAAAGATGCCGCGAATCGACGTGGGCAAGGATCATTATTTACGATCATCATGCGAAGCGAGAACATCAAGGAGAGACATGTATAAGTGGAATGACGGAAATACCCAAATATCTTGTCTAAGACGATACTCCGGGGACACTTCCGGTTCCTCCGTCAGCCGTCCTCCTTGTTGCTGGCACGTTACGTTTAATATATTAGCGTTGGTGTATCAACACGGTGGATTTTACATTCGTTTTCGTAGACAAGTTACTTGCTTTACGCGGCCGTTATCCTTCTCGCAGAATAAACATTGACTGTCGTCCCCGTAGGAGAGGACGCCATTAAATCTAAGTGGCTTAAAGCCTTATCCTGGACTAGGAATCGACCCCTCTATAAAAATCCACGAAACTCCCATAGGCGACTCGACGTTCCCTCTGTCTCTCGCCATGGGAATTACTGGGCCCTCGACCCTGGCAGCTTCTCTTTCTTGTTGCTCCTGGTGCTTTTAACGGATCTCCTCAATTTACAGAGTAATCGGCGTCAGCCTATAGTGTCGCAGCTTAATGGGTACGTCCGATCTCCGCGTATGTGGCTCAGGACGTAATCCGTCCTCGGACACGTTTAACAAGCGCAAAGGTCTCGTCTGGAACCTTCTTTACGACTGTGCCAAAAGGCCGTATAACGTGAACAAACGGGATCCAACTTGCTCGGCTACTCCCGGTGCTCAGGGGTTGAGACGAGGAGTACATCGACGGGAAGGGTTTTACAGAAGCGCATGGGGGAACCAGCGACAAGGTTACGCCCCTGCGTTAGATACTCCTTAAAGTCCCTTTTTGTGTTGTAGGACTTCGACCCTTGGGCAAGTCGTAGCGAACCCTAACTTGGGAACCCTTTTGGACTCGCGCCCTTTTTCACGGGACCAGATCCAGACATCGGTGCGAATTTCACGCCGTGGCAAAACGAGGAATGGCGGGG